AAAATATGAAATAGATAATTATTGAATGTGGAACTTGTTTTTTAGTCAGTTATGTGTTATTTCTATAGAGTGTAAGATGTATGGGAAGATTTCTTGTCGGTCAAACAGATCTTCGAAACAAATTTGTCTCACCTGTGGATGTTGTTGTCATCTTGCTCTTGTGTCTTCAAATATTAAGTCCTGGTCTGGTCCAATCTTCTCTTGTCAGGTTCAGACAGGAGCCTTCACTACTGCATCAGTCAGCAGCCACCTAACTATACAGACATTACAAGTTACACACTTGTATCAAATAACACAAGTAAATGGTAGGTAAAATGCAGAATCAGATTTTTCTCACCTGATATTCATCTGGGGTCTTCAAATCTCCATGTCTGGTCTGGTCCAATCTTCTCTTGTCAGGTTCAGACAGGAGTCCTGACACTACTGCATCAGTCAGCAGCCACCTAACTTATAATTCTGACATTACAAGTTACACACTTGTCTCAAATAAACAAAACAAAACAAGTAAATGGTAGGTAAAATGCAGAATCAGATTTTTCTCACCTGATATTCATCTGGGATCTTCAATTCTCCAGGCCTAGTCTGGTCCAATCTTCTCTTGTCAGGTTCAGACAGGAGTCCTCACTACTGCATCAGTCAGCAGCCACCTATAACTAATATAGTATATAAGTTATATTATATATATATATAGTATATAATTATAACATTAGAAGTTAAATACAGGTCTCAAACAACACCAAGTATATCATAGGTAAGATGCTGAATTAAATTTTTCTCACCTGATTTTAATATTCCTCTTGGGTCTACAGTTCGTCTTGTCTGGTTCAATCCGGAGTCAGATTACTACAGGGGTCCTCACTGCATCAGTCAGCAGCCACCTAACTATACAGACATTAGAAATTACACACTTAGTCTAATAAAAATAAAACCAAACAACTGGGCAGCAAAATGCAGAATTTCTCTGGATTACTATGAGTATGAGTGACTTTTGTATATTATGGATACAACCTTTAGTTAGTGATGTTGTATAAAAGGCCCTACATTCTGCCTGGTAGTACTGATACCAAAAGACAAATAATGATAGAAAAGGTTATTCCACGGCACTAGCATCCATTTTCTATTGATATTGAAATATTTTCAATAGAAGATACACAATTGCTCTGTAGCTTAGGATTTACAATATGATGGCAAAACTTTTTTTGAACAGATGTATATACATATAAAATATTATGCACTGATGTCATCCATATATTGGAGTCAGTGAGATTTAGAAAGAAAATAGATAAGTATTTGTCTGGAAGCATTTTCTTCAAAAGACAAAAGTTAAATGGGTAAAACCATTTGACTAATGATTGTCCCGCATTTGTCCATTTCTGTAAAACTATTCTTGTAGTACAACGTAAGGAGTAAAGTAAAGTAAAGCGAGTACTAACGTTACATGTAAAATTAGTGTCGCAAGTCATTTTGAATGCATGTACATGTATGACAAAAACAGACATTTCTGGCCCTGAAAAAAATGACAATTTTTTGTGTCAATACTAAACCATAGAATAGAATAATTGAAAATCTTGTTATGTATCATCCAAATATTTCACCTATTCAAGCTTTGAGGAAGCCTTGTTTACACAAGTCTTTGGCGGGAAAATTAATGGCATCTAATTATGCCCAGGTGCGGCACATCTCAACACGTGGCATCGCCAAACTCACCACGCCATCGAAGATTTCAAACAAAACACAATAAAACATCTTTAAATCAATCGTTTCTGTACCGAAAAATGGTCCATAGTTTTGTACCAGCGTCAGCCGACACGGAGGAAATACATTCAGTGGTCTCCAAAAGAAAGCAGGGACAAAACAGTCAAAAGCAGAAAGTGAAAAAAATGGTCAAGAACAAGAACAAGTCGTCTTAAAATGGGAGACAATCTTGTAGAACAACACGCATTTGCTCAGAATATACTACTTGGTTTGAGTTACAGGCTTGTTGGGAATAAATTTAATGAGACAGTCTTGTTGCCTTACCTTGTTAAAACGAGTCTTTTCAACGCCATGCCGCTCTTCCCTTGGTACTTCGTCCGACAGTCGCCATTTTCCTTTTCTTGTCCAAAACTCGCCGGGTCAGAAAATGCGCATTTTCTCCCTCAAACATCCAAAGAACGGCATAGTTCCACCACAGAAACATCCCCAATATCTACTCTACACGTTTCGATAGATATTTTCCAAACCATAAACGACAAAACACGAAAATTTACCCTTAAAACTAGCGAACAACTCTGCACGAACATCACTCGCAACACGAGGTCGAACGACTGGATCCTGTCACCTGTCTGCACACGTGTGTCAATTACACACAGATGCGTACGTAACGGCCACAATTCAATTAACTTCCTCATCCAATCCAGATCGACCATTCATTAATTCAGCGAAAAGAGAACCAATCAGGAGTAGCTACACTTTTTCAGACTTGTCTGTCAAACATAACGTCCATCTCGACTACAAGTGTTGGTATTCAAGCTTAATCTTGATTTTAAATCACGTATACTTTGTCCGTATCATAGACTGAACCCATAACCTGGCCCACTGCCCGCAAAAAGTTGAAATAGAAACATGGAAATTCAAATATACGATAGACATTGGTAGCAACTCTCTCATTGGTCGAACCGAAAATTGACACCCTCTCATTGGTTGACCAGAATACAGGCAACTAATCCTGTCCTTGGTGCTGAAAGCCATATCCACAGACGGGGAAACATGCGTATACTTCTTACTAAACGCACACATGCCAATAAACAAGTTGTCTTTTGCCACAGATTGTTCTTGTTTCATACTGCCCAATCCTAGAATTATAGCAAAACTAACACAAGAATGAAAAACATCCATTTCTGATGGTGATAATCATAATTTATTCACAAAATACACAAATGTTAGTGAGGTGAGTTTCCTTATTTTTGTAAGTATTGAAGTAAAATCGTAAGGACAACTACTTCCTTAGAAAAAAGTTGTCAATGACCTGAAATATACATTGATATCATATAAGGAATGTCTTTGTTAGAATATAGCCATAAAAAGTTTCATCATGTTGGTAAATAAATAATTAAAGCTCTTTGCACTCAAAAAACATTTTGATAGTCCTTCCAAGGATATAAAATATCCTTGGTCCTTCTGCTAACTGCTCTGAGGAAGGTAGCTGAAGGAATACCAAAACTGCAGCCAACAAATATGTTTATTGTGTGCCAAAAACAAAAATAGTTACTCCTTTTCGACAACATGTCTTGTATCAGATTGGTTAAGAAAGCTGAGAAAACAAAAGTTTTGCATTTGCCAACATCACATTGAGTTCTAGAAAAAGGTTATACTGCATTACTTTTCTAGTTTCTTCATACAACAATCACAAGTTCCATTTTTGAGAGGACACATTGGTTGTTTACAATTCAAAACCGACAACTAAACTTTTATTATCATGATGAGCAGCTTAATAATATGACAAGCTTTGTTTTACACTATATCCAAGGAAATTCAAAATCTTAATCAATTTCTGATGAAACATAATATACATGGATTATCAATGACATACAGAATGTAATTTTTATGAGTCATTATTGTTCAAAACTTTTAAAATTACACAATCATCATTTCTACCCATTGTTTGTTTTGTCTTTCTTTTGCTTCGATCTATATTCTTGTCTACAAAAAATTCATCCCCTACAAGAGAAAATCTTAATACAAGAGTGTTTACACCATTTTTTCTCTGTTCAACATGAATCAACTAAACATCATCACATTGGTTATATTACTGTGTTATAGCTTCACAATACAATACAATACAATACCATGTAGTTAAATTCATAGTCATGAAAATATGAACATCCCCAAAACATACATAAAAATCTCCACATAGTTTGTTACATGATTACTGAATAGTAAATAATCTAAATACTTTTTACTGCAAAGAAAATATACATCTCTTTGTAATACTGATACATGCATGACATAAATGTTGCACAACAATGAAACTGTCACAATGTCCAGAAATTCTAAGTCTACATTTTCTTCTCTCCTGAGTGTTAAAATCTATCTCTAGTGGCTAGGTGTCTATATACAAGACTTGTTAGGTTAACAATAAGACAAATAAAGCCCCTGTCACACATTTAGAACCTTCCCCTGAACACCAGCCAACCAAGGTTGGACTAACTCTGTGAGCAATCTTAGGCTAAGCCTACATGTACATTACTATAACAAACTTGAATCAAATCAAACTTGCTCATAGGAAATTCAAACTCTATACTACTGGATAAATTATATCCGGATGTTTCGAGTGACATCTACCACTCTTCTTCAGCGTCACAAATCAAACTGAGTAAAAAAAGCTGGTGTGTTACGTCGAAAGGCGGTTATACCGGCTATACAGATACAGATACAGAAAATTGGAGCCAAATTTCACTGCCAACCATGCCCCAACCAACTTCCAAACACCAGCCAACCACAGGCCAACCAACCTGAACACCTAGATGTTTTAAACATTTTAAAATGTTTGGTTGGTGCAGCCAACTTGTTCCCAACCTACTCCCAACCCAACCATGGTTGTGGACAGTTCAGCATTGTTTGGGAGGCCAAATTCAGCTACTAGTATATGTGACAGGAGCTTTAAGTGACATATAAACTTATGGTATCTTTTAAAATGGTGTGGCAACCAATTCATATACCACCAGTGATGTTCAGACATGTTTTGTTTAAGTCTCAGAGGCCTTCAACTTTACATATGACCAACAATGTATCACACTACATGTGCAGTTCAAACTGTGAATAAGCTTATTGTGGAAGGACATATGGACGCTCTTTCATCCATCTATAATAATTGCAAAACGTGATACAAAGACATGGAGGCCATTCCATACAGCATTTGAATTAGGCAAAAAGAATCTAGCCACAAATATCAATTTGATACATAAAAGTTTTGCACTGTTAGCATATCAACTTAAAATAGTTGATACCCTATAGATACAAGATATAACGAATACTCTAAAGTTCAATAAAGTCTATGGCTAATACAGTTAAGTTGAACTATTAACAATAAGTTAAGGTTAATATAACTAACCTGAATATCATGTAATATATGTATACGTAGTGCAACAATGAAGTTAATAGTGTGATGTATAATATAAACCTGTTTAAATTTGTTACTTGTTATAATAAGAAGACAACGGAATATTTTGCACTTTGCAACAAGTTGCACAAAATATGACTTAACGTCCTGCGTCATTTGGAGTGGTTCTCGCGAGGAAATTGGCGGCCGTCCACAAATATTTACAGTCTGGGGAAAACTTGCACTTGTACAGCATTCTGTGACTCAGTGGTGGCCGCCTGTAAAACAAGAAACAATGTGAAACCTAACTTTGTCATGGTTTTTGTTGGATGTTTTACTAAATAGTCAAGGTCACATCAGAATTTTGCAACACAACATGAAAACTTAGGACTTAATGCCATCTTCTAAATATGCAAATTCAAGATGTTTTGCCAAAGTTCTCTGCACAATCTATTACAGGTTTTGGGGATGATTTTGCTGCCAAGGGAGTTTTTGATGCGGAGAGAAGGTTTTGCCCTCGAAACCTTCTGATTTTTCACGGTTTTGGTAGGATTCTTGGTCAATGTTGCATCAGAATTTTGCTTGTTGCAGAGGTTTTTTTTTTCTGACACAACATTTGGAAACTAGAGACGGAATGTTAACCTTATATGCGCAAGTATGACCTTATATGAGACGTTCTGACAAAGTGCTATGCATGATACATTACAGTTTTTGTGCAGGTGTAGTATGTTCTGCCAACGTGCTGGCTGAACATGACATAAACAAATACATTGTAAATACCTGTTTACTTGTTGCACATGTCTAGCAGTCCTCTCGGAGACACACCCTTTTCTGGAGCGTGGAGCTGCACTCCCGCCCGCCATACTTGGGTTCTCTGAACACGGGACGCGTCCTCATCTGTACCCCCTCCCCACACGTCACTGTACACTCCGACCACGCATCCCACTTACCCAGCTTACAGTGTTTGGCTGCAAATATATATTAAACAGCATACTTAGATGAAGGTTAGACATCCAGGTAATACGATACACCAAAAAGCAGTTACTCAAGTAACTGGATATGATTTTGAAAAAGTCAGACGTTTCAGCTAGTATCCACTAGCTTTCATCAGTAACTGATAGACCAGAGGAGTTTATAAACCTGCATTTCTCTTCTAGTCTTTCAGTTACTGACGAAAGCTAGTGGATACTAGCTGAAATGTCTGACCGTTTCCAAAATTATATCCAGTTGCTTGAGTAACTGCTTTTTGGCATATTAAACAGTATGTTTATTTAAGCATAATACTACACATTATCCATGAAACAAGTGGTTGTCTATTGTATCAGGTCATTGTCGACTGTAACAAGTTGATTGTAGTGTGTTAACAGGTGGTTGTCAGTTGAAGTGTGTTAACAGGTGGTTGTCAGTTGTAGTGTGTTAACAGGTGGTTGTCAGTTGTAATGTGTTAACAGGTGGTTGTCAGTTGTAGTGTGTTAACAGGTGGTTGTCAGTTGTGGTGTGTTAACAGGTGGTTGTCAGGTGTAGTGTGTTAACAGGTGGTTGTCAGTTGTAGTGTGTTAACAGGTGGTTGTCAGTTGTAGTGTGTTAACAGGTGGTTGTCAGTGGTAATGTGTTAACAGGTGGTTGTCAGTTGTGGTGTGTCGACATGTGGTTGTCAGTTGTAATGTGTTAACAGGTGGTTGTCAGTTGTAGTGTGTTAACAGGTGGTTGTCAGTTGTAGTGTGTTAACAGGTAGTTGTCAGTTGTAGTGTGTCAACATGTGGCTGTCAGTTGTAATGTGTTAACATGTGGTTGTCAGTGGTAATGTGTTAACAGGTGGTTGTCAGTTGTAGTGTGTTAACAGGTGGTTGTCAGCTGTAATGTGTTAACAGGTGGTTGTCAGTTGTAGTGTGTTAACAGGTGGTTGTCTCTTGTAACATATTTACCAATGGTTGTTGATGTTTAATGTTGATTGTAATGTGTTAACAGCTGTTACTTACGACATTTCCTGCCGACATTGCACCTGCGTGTCTCCTTGCGAGGGGGACATGTCTCGCCGCCATGTTTAGGCTTCTGTTTGGTCTCCCTCGTACGCTGCTGCACCCCTCCCTTTCTGCCACAGCTCTGAGGAACAACAACAGGAGAAGAGGTTCAGATTAATCGCAAAAACTTTGTGTTGAAGCAGTGTGTATCTGTAACTGCTGACAACACATGATGATAGACAAAAGGAAAGAAAAACTGTAATCTCGACCCAGTCTCTCAGTTAACAAGCTTTGTTTTCAAGTTTCTCAATCTTACAATGCACATGATCTAAGCTTAATCTCATACATGTACAGAATGTACATCAAATAAAATGTCCTTTGAATTCATTTATTTTTGCAGTGGTTTTATTTCACAGTAGGAAGGTAACAGACAGTTTGTGGTGCTTAAAATCTTTCGGTTTAAACAATTCACTGTAGTAAAGTACTGATACTAGTAGTGAGACATGTATGCGGTGAATTGGCAATGGAAAGTAGTCACAAAAAACAACTACAAAAGTTTCAAGAGTTACATTTTAATTATGCTGTTATGTATAAACATGCTGTTATATATAAATTATCTCATAATTACAATAATTCGATAGTTTATCATCCATCCTTACCCTCGAGCATGGGGCCCAGTCTGACCAATCAGACACCATACAGTCTATCTCACAATTATAATAATTTGATAGTCTATCGTCCATCCTTACCCTTGAGCATGGGGCCCATTCTGACCAATCAGACACCATACAGTCTATGGCTTTCTTCTCGTCATCGTTTTCGTGCTGTTTGTGATCGGGCTGGACTTCATCGATCTCATAATCTTCAAACTCGTACGCGGCATTCAGGTCCACGACGGCCATGTCTGTCCGCTTGTCGTCCTTCTCTCCGCCGAACAAGTCCTGTTCCCAGACTGGTGACTGCATTTTTCTCTGCTGCTCAGCCGCTATATTAAATGTAATTGATAGAATAAAGTTTTTAAGATATTGTTGATTATCTAATAAATAAAAATATACCATTAGAAAACGAACTTGGTTAAATTTTCTTGGTTAGTCGTCTGACTGAAATTGGTTCAAATATAGTCATTATCATAATGATCATAGTTACTATTAGTATGATTGGTAATGTGAAAGAATATACATTTTAATAAAATGTTTTACCGACAGTGAAGAATCTTTTTTAGTGACAATGAAATATGTATATCAATCAATACAAATAAATCAAGTAACTAGACAAATTATTGCTTGATTTTTTTACCAGGATGTCTTACCTTCATTGATGTACCAACAAAATAGTTCCAAAGATGAGGCCAAACACTAAGTACATGTATATTCCAGAACACCCTGCACTGCCAAATTTTCAAAAGCATTTCAAGACTTACATTGTCAAGGAAATTGTTACTCAAGCAACTGGATAAATTTTGATAAAAACCTTTGAAGAGTATGATCATTAAACATTTTCAAAATCTATTCAGTAATTGAGTAACTATTTCCGTGTATTTCATTACCTGGATGTCTAAACTTCATCAACCCATTACCAGAATTTTGTTTGGGTAAAGTTAATTTCAATGGTACACATGTATTTGCGCAAGATTGTTATTGATAGAGGACAGTATATGGACAGTAGGGTACCTTGTTTTGGGTTGTATATGATGGGGTCTGACACAGGTCCCACACCGAGGGCATTTCTACCCTGGACACGGAAGTAGTACGACCTTCCCGGTACAAGGTCAGTCAGGGTCAAGGTCAGCTGGTCCCCAGGAACCTGGACAGTCTTCCAGTCTGTGGAATTCTCCTTGATGTAGAACACAAAGTAATCTGGGACATACAGAAAGACAACATTTAGCATCACATACGTAACTGTACATTGTACAATCCAGAAAATTGCTGTATTGAATTATGATATCCTGACAATAAAATCAAACCTAATTGCACAACAATTGTAGGGCAAATTGCTGAACAGTATAATTGCTGAAAGGTGGTTATACCGGCTATACAGATACAGATACAGATACAAGACTTGTCTAAAATCCACACTATACATAGTGGCAATGAGTTTCACTCTACAATAGTTCTTGGTTGATAACTCTGGTACACGAAGGCAAGACTATATTCTACTGAATAAAAACAAGACCTACATAATAACGTAAAAGAATGTTAATCGGATTATGCATTGGAAAAATGGTACACATATCAAGTTTGCGCCTGAGAGAATACAATGTATAACTTGCGCAGAGTGCTAGATACATGACTGTACACATTGGCCTAGATATAAGGAATCAAGTCAGGATATGGAATAAACACTATTAGATAGAATTCTCTGAACTCCTTTTGGGTAAGATTGTGTTGGTTTTACATGAGTTAGTCTGAGTTTTAACTTAAAAGGTACATTATACTGGTTATAGAAGCAGAGCAGAATCTGATGTACCCATGATGGTTCCCTGCGCTTCCTCTGGCGGCTGCCAGGCGAGCTGCACCACAGTCGGCAGCCCCTCCACCGGGATGGCTGTCAGGTCCTCTGGGGGAGTCTCCAGTACTGAGATAAAATACAGAAAGAAGCAATCCTGTTAAAAAACTTATTTGCCAACTGACTGCTTGTACATCCCACACCCATGACATGTTGGTGGCATGTCATGTTGGCAGAATGTACTGTGCGAAATCAAAATCATTCAGTTTTCATTGGATGTTTGTTTAACGTTGCATGAGAATTTTGCCCATTGCAGACGAATATGTTCTGGCATAACATTGAAAACCATTGACGGCTGTCATCCTCAAATACGCAAATATGACCTTATTCGAAACATTCTGCCAAAGTGCTACATTGTATATGCACAAAAGGATATAGTCACAAATGTGACTAGAAGAACATATAGTGTAGAAAAGAAGCAGACAGTATTGACCGGTACACAAGAACAAAAAAGACGGAGAAGGAAGAAAAGTTATATGTATATTAATTATGGGTTCACCACACCACGAAGTGGTGTGGTGAAACCATATTGCTTTTTCTGGTGTTTCTTCTCCTTCTCCTCCTCCTTCTCCTCCTCCTGCCATTTTTTAAATGGATTCAGCTTCTTCATTTTAGGGCCTAAGGTCCTGAAATTTGGTATGGAGGTACAGTGGGCAAATACCCCTAGGCGTTTTTTAAATTTTTATGATACAGGCTTTTAGAATGGTTTTATTTGAGTTTTTTGGCTGTGTTATAGCAAATGTATTACTGTGTTAGTGTGCCATGTTTACTACGTTTGGGTATGAGTCATTACAATGGAATGCAGGGCATCAACCAATAGGCATGCAGCTTTCCTCTATTCTTCTTGCTGATTGGCTGTTGGGATTTAACTTGATTAACACCTGCACAGAGCATTTCTTGCTGATTGGCTGTTGGGATTTAACTTGATTAACACCTGCACAGAGAATTTCCATACTGACAGTATGTCTGTATTCAAGTGTTTTGGTAGGTATTTCAAGCTTTCCTGCTCCAGCATTGGAATGCGGGGCATGAACGTTATTTTTATTTTGAAAATCAACAGTTTGCATTATGCAATTAAAAATCCTAACCAATAAAGTAGGGAATAGCTATCCAACTGTTGTTTTAGTCGTATGTTACTAATACTTCATATTATAGTTATATCAATGTAACACTGATCTTTGTTTTCATGTGTTTCTCATTCTTTCCCTGCCATGTCGTAAAATGTGGTGAACCCATCGCTGTATTTGCTCCAAAGCAAATATTGGCCTTTCTAGTTAAAACAATAAATCAGCAGCAACAGACTATATCACAAGATCAATGGAATTTGTTGAGATAATCAAGTGAAGCTAAGCATTATGCCTGTAATGGAAATTAAAGGGAGTGTAAGATTTGAAGTGTTGTTGTTTACCTTCCACATCACAGCTGGGCCTGGGTCCCATGCACTGTTCTGTCTGCTCCAGCTCATCTGTACACATGGGGCTGGGCAGGGACTTCAGACCTCGGTTCCTCTTCCTCACTCCCTTCCCACACTGGACGCTACAGTCTGACCACTCCGACCACGGGCTGTACAGGCACGGCACGTCCACCATACTCGTGTCTAAGGAAAAAAACGAGAATGAATTTAAGATTATGGAGTCAGATATTCATGGTTCTCAAACATCAAGCTGAAATCCTCGTCTAATTTTCAACTAAAAGAAATTAAACTAAACTAAGCTAAGTGTACCAGCAAAAATTGCCCCCTTAAAATGCAGGAAATATTATTTCAGAGGGTAAAGGCTTGAAAATTTTCCAGTGAAGCATGGCTCTGTACCCCTCTAGGACTGTTGTGCCTTTGGCACTACATGTAGATATGATGCTATGTCAAACAATATTGAGATGGCAAAAAAAAACTTTGCCTGGCTCAACATCAGAAGTCAAGCCTTTTAATCCAAGGATTTTGAGGGTGAAATGTAGCTACATCAAATAAAAGTTTTGCAGCACTATTACGAATTGAAAATTCAAATTCAAAGTTGCTTCAAGTATAAACTGGGGACCTCCACTGAGTAAACGCAAATCCATCTACTTGTCAATTAAGAAAAACTTCAAAGAAAAACTGCTTCCACAAGTGATGTACTCAAGGGACCATCTAATGGATTTTCTTCACTTTAAGATGAATTATAGTCCACAGAGTGGCCCTTGGAGGGATCTTTAGTTGCAAGGGTCTCAGAGTAATGTGTTAAGTTATATCCTGAAGCCCAAAGGTACAAACTTTGAAACATACATACAATGTAAACTTCTACATTTTTAAATTGATATTCAAAGAGTTGAGTCATTTTTATTTTTCTTATTCTTTATTTTTTTATTTTCATAGAATTGTAAAATCCCAGCTGATTCTGTCTATATATTTTTCCACTAGCTCTCATAAAGCAACTGTTGAGTCATGCACATACAATGTACAGTACCATGAGACTGAAGACAGGAAACAAGATAACCTTTTTTTTGGACCTTGAACCTAAGTTCCTATTAGTGTCCCTGATGTGCCTAGTATACGAATTTAAACACAAGCAAATACAAAACCAGACACATTGAAAACAAAACCTTAGAGTCTGTCTACACTGGTAGATACATGTACATGTAAATTAAATGGAGTAACATTTGCAAAGCAAATGCATAATGTTTACCTTCGGACATGGTCTGCTCTGTTAAGTTTTACTCAAACACAATCACATACACTACTACTAGTATATGGTAACAGGAGCAGAGCAGACCATGAAATTGCAACATTATGTAACCCAACACCAGTCACCATGGTGACAGACGTCAACAAATCATGTCATTGGTCAGGGCAGAGGTCACTGTTTGGAGAAGAAGAAGAGGAAGAAACAGAGCAAAAACAATATGTTTTCCTTCAGTAAACATAAAAAGAACAGTTACTGACAGCTACAGTGTACTGTACCTGGTAGTGTAGTGACCATTGCTGGCTCACTCTGTATGTTAGACTGCTCCATGGTATAGGCCACCACACGGATAGTGTAGGGGGATTCAGGCTCCAGACCACCAAGCACGATTTGCTGAAGCAAGAAGGATAAAGCACATTTAATCTCAGACTATTTTGTTTCAGTGAATTTTGTTTAATTTGCTGTGCATCTCTTCATGCCTCAAATTCCTGTGTCCTGAAATTCCTGAGTTCTTCCAACATACAATTTATGTCCTCCTAGCTCGCGGGGAAGTATTCTGACCTCCAATTTGACCTTCCTGTCAGTCTGTGGTTACACCATTTCCTCCCTTACTTCCTGTGACTCTAATTTATTGAAATAACAATTATTATAACTGACACTGACAAACATGCAAAGAAACAGACATTGTCAAATACACTGAAAACAAAACCTGCACACACAGAGTTTGAAAAAAAGCACAGTTTGAATTTTATGATGATTCTTGTACTTTCATAGTTTTTTTTTCACCCTAAATCAGATAACCTTGATACCGTCTTTGGGATGATGAGGTAATCCCCGTCTCGAACTTTACTCAAGTGTTATACTTTATGCTCTCCCAGTATTTGTCTAAGTTTGTCTTAAACTTATTTACTGAACAGATTTTGAGTTGAACTACGGACTGTGGCAAAGCGTTCCAGTCACTAATGACCAGTATAAATGACCTACCGTTGTTTCTCCATCTGGGATCTCCAGAACGTTTGGTCCCAGCAGTTTCTGTCCCTCCTGGTAGTACACCAGGTATCCCAGAATGCTCGAGTGGACATTAGAGGGCGGGGCCCACCAGATCTTTATTGCCGTCGAGTTTACTGCCATGGTTCCCATGGAAACTGTAAACAAAACAAATGAGAGATTGAAAAACACGATTGCTAAAATTCTGGTAGGTGAATTTTGAAAATAACTCCATACAAAATTAAATGTATTTAATCACCATTTCTTGTTGATTTTTGATGCTGTGTATACTAATAAGTTGAGTTTGATAAAACTTGAATATACAATTTGGGAATTATCTTCTAAGTTGAAAATTGTTGGGGGGGTTGAAAAAAAAGTGTAAAAGGCTTTGTAAGTTATTTGAGAAGGCAATTGAAAATAAAGGGATAAGACCTAACAGTTGTGCTGAAGGGTGCATATGGTAGTCTTGTTGGATAGCAGTCGGCTAGTTAAATTTATCGTTGTCATTTTCATCTACATTGTATCTGTTTGATGTTCAAATTGGTCTTTTAGTGGTAAAATTGGCACCTGCAAAAAAAAGTGGACTAGAATTCAGTGACTGTTATTTCATAGATTTGGATCTTGTTTGAATCCAATGACATCTTCAACTAAAACATTTTCCTTAAAAAAAGATTTGGATCTTGTTTGAATCCAATGACATCTTGAACTAAAACATTTTCATTAAAAAAAAGATTTGGATCTTGTTTGAATCCAATGACATCTCCAACTAAAACATTTTAATTAAAAAAGATTTGGACCCTGTTTGAATCCAATGACATATTCAACTAAAACATTTTCATTAAAAAAAGATTTGGTTCTTGTTTGAATCCAATGACATCTTCAACTAAAACATTTTCATTAAAAAAAGATTTGGTTCTTGTTTGAATCCAATGACATCTTCAACTAAAACATTCTCATTAAAAAAAGAGTTGGATCTTGTTTGAATCCAATGACATCTTCAACTAAAACATTCTCATTAAAAAAAGATTTGGATCTTGTTTGAATCCAATGACATTTTCAACTAAAACATTCTCATTAAAAAAAGAGTTGGATCTTGTTTGAATCCAATGACATTTTCAACTAAAACATTTTCATTAAAAAAAATACTTTGCAAGTTTAGGAATGTCAGTTCATGGAACAGTAGGTTAGAGTTTCTGTTAGTTTTGAAGAAAATAAGTTGTTTTACCTAACCGGGCAATACACAACCTGAAATCCCCTATCTGCTGATAGCCACAGTAATAAGAGCCGTGGTAGGGAACATAGTCGTCGGCCATTCCTTTAGAAAGTGGGGGAAACTCCAGACAAAATTCAGAAAACCCAAACTATTCCAGTTCCTCAGAGCTACACTCTCTGTTATGTTGTGAATTTTTAAAATGAATGAAAAACAGCCAAAGCTTACTTTTTCAATCATCATGATAGAAAAAACAAAAATAAAGAATACCAGTTTATCAAAAACGAACTGTCATTTCAACATGTATTCTACACAATCATGTATGTTTGATTTCAATAAGATGATTCATGGCTCCAAATGGGCAAGTGCAGAAAGATGCATTATGAGAGCATGTCGACAGAACGTACTGTGCCTCTGCAAAACCTAGATTTTTCACAGTTTTTCTTGGATGTTTGGTCAACGTTACATTAGAATTTCGCCCGTTGCAGATGATATCTTTTCAGATGCAACATTTGAAAATTAAGGCGGGTTGTCATCCTTAAATACACAAAATAATACAACCTTGAACAAGATGTTCTGCCAAAGTGCTATGCACAATGTATTACAGGTTTCGCACAGATGCAGTATGTTCTGCTGACATGGGTAATATGCCAAAGGCATTAGCCCCTAACTTGTACATGTAAAAATGTTTTTTTTGTTACATACATGTATGTCTCAGGGGCTTTCAACTTTGACATACATGTACAATGTATTACCCACAATGCACCATGCTAAACATGCCCAGTTTAAACCGTGAACCAACTTATTAAAAAATTCCCACTTTAGATAATCTAAAATCTACTTTTCAAGTCAGAACTGTGTAACACTATAAGACAACATACTGGTTAGGTCGCCCTTCGTGAGTTTGCGGCTACTGTCGTGGTCATGTCCGTGGCGATCGTGTCCCTTGTCACGTCCACGGTTCCTGTCCTTGTTCCTCTTCCTTTCCTTCTTCTCAGATTTGGACAATTCCTCGCTGAATATGTTGATATCTTCTTCATCATCTGAAAATACATGTACATTGATCATGAGTTATACGAATGTTAACTTCTAAATACACCAAAAAATATATTTTTCATGTTTGTTGTATCCAATGTTTTGTGATTTTTTCTAATTTCTAGGTAATTTTTTTTTAAACAGAATCATTAAAATGGTTCCAACATGTGCCCTGTATTTTATTTGTGAAATATATTATGTGATATATAATTATAATAACCTTCCTGACTGTAAAATATTTCAGATGCAAACATTTGATAATAGGAAATGTTTAATTACCATGCTTTTGTTTTCATTATCATTCAGTCCCTGTTCCCTATATCAATCATGTAGAATCAGACTTGTTTTCAACCATTTACCAACTTGCCATTACATTGTTCACTAATTTGCCATACATTAATAATTGCATCCATTACAGTAAGTGTAAATTAGATTTGGATTTGATTTAATTGGCATCATTTATAACATAATAGATTTGTTTACAACAATTTACCAAATTGTCATGCAGAACTTACTGTAGTGTTGTTTACCAATTTGTCATACAGTTTTGTATTGTAAGATTAACAATTACGGAGAATTAGATTTTGATTTGAAATCTTTATTGGCATGATTTATAACCATTTAATTGATTAGTTTATTGATTGTTCGAAATCACAAGTACATAGGAGCACCAAGGTGCTAAATTGTGTACAAGTTTGCATTAAAAACTACACATAACAAAATACAAAAGCTATAAACTTTAAAATGGCAGTCACAGTTTGTTTGTGTTTGTTTGTTTCGCATAACCGGTAAACTGCCTTTAGGCGTAACACACCAGTTTTGTACATGTGCGTACATGTACAAGCTGCGTAAGACCGGACTGTAAGGTTTGAATCACTCACACCGGGAGGGACCCCTACTCTTTTCGATAAGTACGGTGGGTTCTTTAACATGCGTGGGGTGTGGCTCTCTCCAAACACGGGACCTCCATTTAACAATTTAACATCCTATCCGAGGAACCGAGGCTAGGTACTCATTTCCACCTGAGTGAAGTGAGGAAGGTCGTGTAAAGTGCCTTTCCCAAGGGCACAAGATCAGTGACATGGTAGGATTTGAACCCGCGACTTCTTGGGTGTGAGCCGAATGCGCTATCAACTGTGCCACACGACCCCACGTTGTAATTAAACAATAAGTTTACCACATACCTTTAGATGTCTTCCCGTGACAGCCGTTGTCCATGATTCCTGTCCGCTCAATCACGATCCTCGCGACCGGCGGGAACGACTTGCCTCGAGCGTTGTACCAAGGGGAGGCAGGATTCTTCGGGTCCTGGCTTGTGATTGGTCGGATCTTCTCCCGTGGAATTGTGGGAGAGTTTGCTGACTGCAAAATCAAAAGAACCTTTTTTTAGAAGTTGCTGCTTTTAAGCATAATTTTTTTAAAAATGAAAAGCACAGAAAAGTATTTTGCAGAATGATTTTTACACCAACAATTTAGGAGAAGCCTGACCAAAGCAATTGGTGGTGTTATTATACAATCATGATATATTACTGTGACAGTCATATTAAAAAAAAGGGGAAAACCAACACTTTTGTTTGCATCTAAATGTACATCACTAAAACTAAAAACACGAAAAATTACAAAATTACGTTGTGTTGTTGGTAAAAACAACACACATACCCAAAAGTACATCCGACTGATCGAACACCTGACCAACCAAACAACCCAACAGCCTGAGCCAATCACGCACCTCGTAAGTGATGCCAGAATCTGTCCCAGCATCCCAAGGGTACAGGTCCATCTCTGTCCTGTCCAGCCATTGGTCGCCCTGGCAGACGTCAAAGTTGCTGAGTCCGACGTTCCAGTCGGGACTGGGTCCCAGCATGGTGAGGAAGGACAGCAGGTGGTGTTCGCTGTCCACTCCGAAGTCCGAGGAAACTGGCGCCTTGATGTTCCTGGGTTCGTAAGCAGGCCACTGGGGGTCTGTCTTCACTACTGTCCTGATCTTGTTCCCCTGTATGAAACAGAATAATCTCTCTGTATTATATATTATGTACAACCATGTATACTCTAAAAAAATGAAAGAAATCTGCTGAACCCACCATGAGTTACAGCTGCAAACTCACAAACTTGACGGAAAACAGTACCTTCCCACAGAAGAATTATCTCCTTTCTTAGTAATATTTAGGACATTTGTTTGTTTGTTTGAACCTTTATGTTTATTCAATGAGATACTAAAATTGGCCTGCTGGCTGCTTTTCATATAGAGGTCATAATAATCATTGCATTGTAAAATAATACAGAACAATACAATAAAAAACTGGCAAACTGTCTGTGGAAATTCCACCAAAGACTGCAACATATTTTTTTAATTCTAAAAATATTTTATTAAAAAATAATGATATGTATATTTTGCATATGACACTGTGTAACAATTACTGCATTTTGTTGAGATTAGATTTACTCAATATTAGAATTGTTGTTACATAGTTACTAATTTAGTTAATAGTAGAAGTTGCCATATGTTGTATATTACATGTATTCAATTAGTGAGCAATTATTAACTTTTATTACAACACTGTCTGTAATGCCATTAATAAAGTTTTTAACTATCATATTAGCTCTGTCCTTATTGGATAGGTCAATTTTGACACAAAGTTATCATATCTATATATTCTAACATGAGTAGGTCTTCAAAACAAGACTCCTTACCTGTTCTTTCATTTCCCGTTCTAGTTTAGTTGGAGAGCCCCACTCTGCCACCTGTTTCACTCCCTCTGTGGAGTACCCCCCGTACTCCCAAATGGTATAGTCCTTACTGTGGGTTGCACCAATGATAGCAGACCAGTGGGTGCCATATTCTGGGGAGAAAGACACATTTTTATGTCAATAAGGAGGCATAGTTAAAAATGTCTTAATCTGTGACAGACTTTTTGGGGGAAAACCTGCAATGAATTACAGACAAATTCTACCTGCAACAATCAGATTTCAGGAACTGAGACTTTATAAATACTGTGAGTCACAACAAAAACTGTTTGGAAACTACAGTGCAACATTATCATAATTATGGTATATGTTTGCATATGGATGTTGACACTAAATGTACCAAACAAAATTCACATAATCATATCAACGTTAACCTAACACATGAACTATCAAAATCAGTACATTAACTCTGAACATAGCCTGCAGAATATTAAGCTTTACTACAGGTGGTATTTGCAGGTCATTAGAATACAGTAAAAAGAACATCACGTGTACATGTAAGTCTCAACAGATGAAACAAAAAAGCCAATTCATGGTTGAGGAATCCTGAGACATAACAAAACACATCTGAAAATGTATCACAGTTCAGACAAGAACTGTTTACAACTGAAGGGCCTTCATCTTTTACCTTATGCACATGAGCACTTTGAGACCTAAACCCACTTATGATCGTTTACTTACTGGGGTAGTCGTTTGGGTGAGTGTGTTGCGACCACAGTCCGTAGAACGTCATGCGGTACTTTCCTGCTCCACAGGCCGTACAGTTCGCTACTTCCTTCTTTTCATTCATCTTCGGCATTACTGCAACATCATCTATGAGAAAATTTAATTTCAAACATGTAACTACAAGACGTGGTGACGGCACACTCAAGCTTTTTCAACTTATGTTAATGCCACCACCAATACAGGGGACAATACAATACTCATTTTCACCTGAGCGAAGTGAGGAAAGTCGTGTTAAGTGCCTTTCCCAAGGGCACAAGATCAGTGGCATAACAGGACTCGAACCCGGGACCTCTTGGTTCCGAGTCGAGCACTCTGCCGCTACGCCACATGACCCCACATGGGAAACCACTGACATGTCAATTACAATCAAAAGTCATCAGTCTAGTGTAAAATTTCAGTAGTTACTTCTGAGTACGGAAGTACTGTTTAGGGTGGCATGGCTAAGCTGTGTGTTTGTGAGTACATGTAGGTTGACAGAAGGTTGGTGGGGGTATAGATTGACAGGCATAATGACTGGAGGTCAAAAGGCCAGACACAAAAATGGGATGAATTTGATGAGAGTACACATGACATGTAGGTTGACAGACAGAATGACAGGTCAAAAGGTTGGATACAGGAAATGGGGTTAACTTGAAGGTCACATGTACACCAAGCTGTAACTTTCCAGATGTCTGAAACCTTAAATTTGATGTTGGAAAATTTGCTTCATTTACACTCCGCAAGAGGAAGAAACTAGAAGAATTGAGGGAGGGCAATATTTTTGGGTAATCAGTCTGTGCAATGATTATTTTTCTCATAGTCTTCTGTGTTGTTCTGTCTATTCTTGTAGAAATCATTATTATTTTTTGTTGAAAACTTATCATCCTCTTCCTGGCTACTTGCTTGAAGACACATTATTGTCAAAGTTATGGTCTATGTTAACTTTATGATTCCCCTACCCATATATATTGCTCTTTTGTATGTACAATGTAACATGTGTAATGTGTTCGACCATTCTCTATGTAATGTGCTTGGCCCTTGCCTCCACCCTCATGACCTCAATGAAAAGTGGCCTAGAGGTCAACTTTAGATTCATTAATCAATAAATGCACTACAAAACGAAAATTTATTTCCCTGAGTGAAAAGAGAAAGATTAAGACATCACATGAGCTCTTTTTCACCAGAAGGTAGTTTGAAATTCCAGATTACATCTAGAATTTATGAAGCCCCTGTTCTTCTTTGACAGAGATTTGCTTGTGAGGCTTTTCTCAGAAGCAATACGAGGGCAATGCCCTTTCCAACTGTGTTCGTAAAGATACCTTCCTTTCACACGTGTCTCCTTTTATCATTCAAACCGCCGCAAGTTTCAATTTGTCATCCTTTGTAAGTCCGGCCTGTAATCTCTATAATGGCACCAGGAAGATACAAACCACCCCCTTTTCCTGTCAGAGCTAAAAGGTTGTTAACCCACGCACACGGTTCTGCCTATAATAGGTAATTTCGCCTTTAGCGCGGAAACGCTAGTTACCGCGCCTCTTTTCAATCCCGGATGACCTCAGCAAAATTGACTCTACTCTAAAGAACGTATTCAACGCAAAGCCTTGGAAAAAAGAAACGGCAAACAGATCGTCAGGATAACGACCTCGGAACCGTACGCTAACCGCGGGAGGAATTCGGGACGACGAAAATCAATAAGTCGTAATTTCATGGATCGACGGTTGGCCGAGACCTTCGCGAAATAATTAACTGCGGAGTTAGGATCTGGCGGGGAATATGTAACAAGCTGGGAATTACTTGGGTCAAGGTATAGCCGAAACGTATTTCATGGATTTTACTAAAACCGGTTTGTAGTGATAGATTGTAGGGGTTTGGGTTATCCTGCTGACTTTATCTTGTTTCTGTTGGCTTGCAGTAATAGGGTCAGGGCCCACAGAGGGTAATAGGTCAAGGGAACAGGATTTGTGAGATGGATGGATGGACGGACAAACATGTTGTAGTTAGCCAAGCATGGAGGGAGAAGTAAAAATGATGTACAATTATTTCAATGCTCAATTGTGATCTGGTAAGAATTGGTACTGAATTTTTTTCCCCACCAAACCCAAGGGAAAAAAAGTGCAAAAGAGAAACCCCAACAAAAAAGCCTAAAAACATGCTAAAAATACCCCCAAAACCCAAACCTCTGCTTGGAGAGTATACTGTATGTAGTAATTATTATTAGTAACAATCTACCATTCATTTCTCGGTAACACACTTAAATATAACATATACATAATTATGTTTGTCAAAATTATAGAATGATTTTCAGGATATTGGAAATCGTTTACAATCATCTACATGTATCATACATCATAAGTTATAAAAAAAACAAACAAATGGGCGAATTTATATCAAATTTTTTTCAGTGCAACAAATCAAATACTTGAAACTTGTTATAAAGTCTTACAAACATCCTGGCATTTTTGAAATTATGTGGTTTGGCATGCAACAGTGATATTTCTCAGGTTAAATGGCAACAAATATTAAAAAAAAGACCCCACAATTAGAAATAGGTCCCTGACGACAGCCTGAGTCACATAAACTAGTATATATATGTTTTGAATATTGTGGAGTGCTGAATGGCCCACCCCAAAATGAAAGCCTACAGGTATGTCTAGTGCTGCATACTTAAACCCACATTTAGGTTCAGGTCCGGATTCAAGTCCAGAGGTTTAGGTTCAGTTCCGGACTTGTAAGTCCGGACCTAAACCCATAGCATATACAAAATTGCATGTTGGCAACCTTACAATGTTGTCTGGGTGAAACTTTGGCCACATAACATGGAGGCCGGTACTTGACGATGCCCACTGGCAATGTTTTCTTCATTTTGAAGTGAAGTTTTTGCAATCTACAGAAGGTTTTAGGTGGTTTGGAAAAAAAGGGGTATGTGAAATGTTTTTTTTATGGTAATAAGTCCGGACTCAGTTCTTAACTTTTAGTTTTTTTTTTTTACTTGAACCTAAACATTCTTACAAGTCCGGATCCAAGTCCAGTGAAACAGTATGCAGCACTATGTATGTCAAACTCCCCACTTACTTTCTTCACACAGAGTCAGAGCCAATGCTCCATCATCCATAAACCAGATGAGACGGCTTTGCACGACTGTAGCCCTGCGGTAAACACAACAAACAACAACAATAACAACAACAAATCATTACCCAGTGAACTATAATAGTTATGCATAATATTTATTAATCAAGCACTAAATATTACTGATAATACAGGAATATGCCGTGGACTTTGAGAATATGGCAGAAACATAAAAGCTAGTTAGCAATTTCTAAAGGCATCAGATATTGAACTACAATGATTTTGTGTTGGTTTCATTTCCTAATAATGAATCAGATATGGGACTGAAGTTTTCAAGAAGCACAAGGCAAAAGTAGCACATCTGGGGATCTACGTACTAAGTATATGTACCAAATTTTATTCTTAGTCAGGTTTCGTTTTAGTAATATTATTCTTTTTAACCTGCAGCCTTCTAAGGTTGTGAGTTGTAGAAACCATGAAATGGTGAATGAGAAAATAACATTTACACAAGATTTCATATTTCAAGGTCTGAAGTATACGAATTCTTGCTGAAGTATGAAGTCAATATCCCAATACAGGTGGACGATTTTCACATCCAACAGAAGCCCAAAAGCCCAAACATTCATCTATATTTCCAACATGGTTTGCTACTCCCTTAGGTTTATCCCAAAGGACGTGTTTCAATACCGGTATTAGACAATATGACTCTCACATTGACATTGACTCCCTCGAGGTTTTTCAAACTTTATCCATGTCTGTTTTTTTTTGCTGCTACTTTATCCTTATAATGCAGGGCTCAAAATACAGGGTGCAGATGCACCTTAGTGCAGGTGTTGTGCAGTGCAAAATTAGAGCTGTGCAGGTATTTGTGATGTCTACCTGCACCTAACCTGCACTGGGTATATGCAGGTTAGTGCAGGTAAAATTGGAGCTGTGCAGGTATTTGTGATGTCTACCTGCACCTAACCTGCACTGGTCCATGTACTGGGTGTTAGTGCAGGTAAAATTGGAGCTGTGCAGGTATTTGTGATGTCTACCTGCACTGGTCCATGTATCACATTATTTTGTAGGTTAACCTTATACAATGTAGATACATTGCACAATATACCTACACATGTAGGTGTATGTGGATTTTTATTTGCTGCATTGACTGTTACCAGCAATGAAGTATAAATCAAAGAAGCAATGGCAATTGTTTCAGTTTTTAGTATGATCCATACTTCCAAAAAAAAAGTGGTGCAGGTAAAATTTGTCTGGTGCAAGTATGCAGAAAAAGTATTTTGAGCCCAACAATAACTTTGCCGAGTTGGGGTTGACTTGGTATCTTACTTTGTGCCAACTTGGATTATCAAATGCCAGCGGCAATATGCTTCAAAGCAAAATTAATTTTCTGGGATGCGTTTGATATTGCGACCCTGTTGCTCCATGTCATCTATGATTATGGAATGCCAGAAGTAATTTTTCTCAAAGTACTATCATAAGTAATGCCTTTCGGTCTATATTTTCCTTTAATTTGCACATTCGAATTTGAGACAACCATACATTGCGACCATGCAGCTTGAAAAACACTAATTTTTACTGTGTGCCAACAATGATTACGGAATGTCGTTGATAATTTGTGTCAAAACATCATCTTTAGTACTTGTCTTTTCCTTTAATTTGTGCCTCTACTCAGAAAAAAATATAGCTTTCAAAATATCAAATTTGAATGTGTCAATTTGAATGTGTCAATTTGAATGTAAGGCCACACCAATCTAATTTCTTGGTTAACGGATTTGCCCGCTTCATTTTTTTCTGATTTGACAAAAAAAAAAAATTCAGAATCAACTGCAAAATGCTCATATTTTGCCCTGAACAGTTGAAAACAGTCCTTTTCTTCCTAGTTGTTACAGTTATTCCATCTTTCAATGCAGTGGTATCATTAAATTAAAGTTCAAAATTCTTTTGTAACAGTTTAAATTTTGAACCAGCCTGGTGTGTTGACTTCATGGCTCATATCGTACCATTTTGGGCCATAATAGGATGCCTAGGGCTGTTTTTATTTTTATTTTTTCACCCGCCTGCTCCATTATTTTTCTAGAAAAAATCCGTTAATCAAGAAATTAAATTGGTGTGGCCTAATCATGAAATGCCAGAGGTACAATGTACATGTAACATGCTTCAAAGCATTATCTTAAGTCCTGCCTTTTGATCTAACACATCCTTTAATTTGTGCACTTGCATGTGACACAACTAGACACTGCCAATATTTTGCTTTAGGCCACACCAAGTAAATTTTATGGATGACGTCCACACGCGCATTGATTTTGGCCTGTTCCTAGAAAAAAACCAAGAAGTTCCGCTTCCTGTAACTATGACCAAAGAGTCACGACAGTGCCGCAAATCGTCAGATTGACATGGAACCCGTAATGCAGAAAGCCTGTGCCTGGTTAAAAAAATGAAAAAAAAATGGAAAAAACAAACAAAATGGCACTGAAAAAAATCCTGTCAATAGTTCCAAAACAGTACCGTTTTTGGAACTATTAACAGACAGGACGGTCCTGTCAGCAGTGCAATATTTCTTATCTAGGCATCTTGTTTTTTAGGGCCCTTCTTGTTTTTTTTTTGCCCTCTCGCATTAGATTTAGGGTCTCCAAAGGACGTCATCCATAAAATTTACTTGGTGTGGCCTTATGACTTTATGCCAACTTTGATTATGGAATGTCATTGGTAATTTGCTTCAAAGCATTATCTTTTAGTCCTGTCTTTAAAATATGAATTTTCCTATAATTTGCTCAATTTTCTGGCTTGGGGCTGACACTACCACAAAATATGTCACTTGGAGAACACCTCTTTAATTTTGTCTTGTGCCAACTACGATAATCATAATGGAATGTAGGTAATATTCTTCAATGCACTATCTTACGCACTCTCTTCCAACTTAGATTTCTCTTTCATTTGATTATGATTATGGAATGCCATGGGTAATATTCTTCAAAGCACAATGATCTTATGAACTGTCAGTTACATGTACTGCCTTCAATCAAAATTTCCACACCTAAATGTGACACAACATTCTGACAAAATGTAGCTTACAAAACATCTCTACAGACACAATTTGTGTCAACTGTAATTATGGAATGTCAGTGGCAATATGCTTCAAAGCGTTATTAGTGTTGTCAGGGACTGTTTTTTAATAGAAATTTTCATCAATTTCCGCACCTGAATGTTACACAGCCAGAGCTATTCTCAGAAAAATATAGCTTGCAAAACATCTCGTGAGATATTCTGAGTCAACTGTAATTATGGAATATGCTTCAAAACACCATATTGATGGTGACTGTCCTTCTATCAAAATTTTCGTCAATTTCCGCACCTAAAGGTCATACAGCCAGACCCATTCTCAGAAAACATGTAGCTCACAAAATATCTCTTCTAACAAATCTTGTGTCAACTGTAATTATGGAATGTCAGAGCCTATATGCCTCAAAGTGTCAATGCAAGTACTGATGGTGACTGTCCTTCAATCAAAACTTCCTTTAATTTCTGCAACTGAACATCACGCAGCCTGACCCCTTCACAGAAAAAATGTAGCTCTCAAAACATCTCTTTAATAGACACATTTTATTTCAACGTCAGTGGAAATATGCTTCAAAGCGTTATCTGAAGTGTTAACAGCGACTGTCAAAATTTCTGTTAATTTCCCACCTGAAGGTCACACATCCTGACCCCTCCTCGGGCGCGACCCACAGGAACTCCACGCGCTGTTTCAGTCCGCTGCGTTTGTGCGTGACGGCAGTCGGACAGCCAGCTGTCATCTTCGTCTCTTCTTGATCAACCAGCTGGAACGAAAAACGCCTACAGTTAGGCTCGGTGAAGTCAATAAACTGTTTTCTCTCTGCTAGAACATCAAAGTCATCTTTGTAATCTCTTGACCAGCTAACAGGAACAAAAAAATGCCTACGGTTAGGTTTGTTGAAGTCTACAAACTGTTTTATCTCCACTAGAACATCAAGGTCATCTTTGTACTTCTTGACCAACTAACTGGAACTGACAATGCCTATGGCTATAGGCTTGGTAAAATCTATAATTTGTTGTCTGTCTACTAGAAAAGGAAAGTCTGTCTACTACAAGGTCATCTACACACATCAAGGTCAACTACAACATCATCTTTGTATTCTCTTGATTAGCTAACAAATGAAAAACGCCTACAGTTAGGCTTTGTGAAGTCTATTACTGTTTCCTGTCTTACAGAACATAAAAAAGCCAGTAAACTACAAGGTCATCTTAATTTTGTATACTATAACTGATCACCTACAATGTAACTGGAACAGGCAATGCCAACGGTTTGGCTTTGTGACATCTACTTTATTTTCCTCCAAGATTTTTTTCTAGGAAAAAAGTCTTTGAATGAGGGTAGTATGAAGTTGTGTAGGGTATAGAATTTCATGACATAAGTGAGAAGCAGCCTTCTGTAATGTCAAAATTTGAAATTATCAGTGAAAATTGGGCATTTTAACAAAACAGAGTAATATAACAATATCTCTCCTTGGTGCTGAAGTTACTGCTGTTAAGCACTTAACTTCCATTCACTTAAAATCATAATACATCCACGTCAATTCAGAAATAGCCTTAAATTCACAGCTTTATGAATGGTTTGAACATGATTGAAATGATCAATTGCTGCTGTTGTAGCATTCTTGACACACAAATGTAATAAAAGGGTTTATAATTTTTGCATATTTACCAGTATTACTTAACTTACTCTTCTATTCTGCAAGAGAAAATAAAGAGACCTATATTTCACTTTGCTTTCCATTTACACATTTGCTGATATATAACACTAATAACATACATAATTTGTTTGAAAACTGCAACAGTTGGCCTTTTGAGACAGACTGGACAGGGAATACTGTAAAAACAGGAACTTTTGAAGGGTTTTTATTTGAATTCGTGATGACCTCTCAATGCAAATACATAATGCTGCAAAGTGTACAACAGAATTGTTTCCACAAATCAAAACACTGACAGAAAAAAACCTTCTTCCGCCTGCTGCAAAATACAAAAATGTATGATGACAAAAAATTAATTCATTTTCAGTACATACATGTCTTATACTAGAATATAATTGTACAACAGAATTGTTTCCACAAATCAAAAAACTGACAGAAAAAAATCTTCTTTTCCCTCCCACAGCAAAATACAAAAAAGTATGATGGCAGCAATTTTATGCATTTTCAGTACATAGTTTTACATAATTATCGTATACGTTTGTACTAAAATATAATCGCTTTACCTGGAAAGTTCCAAGTGGTTTGGTCTCATCTTCTTGAGCTGTGGACACCAGCATAAACCCACGGAACTGCACTGGGCTAGTGCTGGTGATCAACACTGGAAAATACACAATAACGTGGGTTAGTTATGTCATCATAATTAACCCACAGAACTGCACTGGGCTAGTGCTGGTGATCAACACTGGAAAATACACAATAATGTGGGTTAGTTATGTCATAATAATTAACCCACGGAACTGCACTGGGCTAGTGCTGGTGATCAACACTGGAAAATACACAATAACGTGGGTTAGTTATGTCATCATAATGACCCACAGAACTGCACTGGGCTAGTGCTGGTGATCAACACTGGAAAATAGACAATAACGTGGGTTAGTTTTACCATTAAAATGACCCATGGGACAGTACCAAAGTAGTGCTGGTGGTCAACACAGGAAACTACACATGATGCCTATTTTCATTTTAGTTGCTATTTTACATGAGAAAACCTTTATAGATTCACATATATAGGCAAGCGACTTAAATACATGCTAATATTTTTTTTTGATATGCGGTATTCCAACCCATGTGGTAACTAGCAGTATCTCACAGGATTTTATTTGGTTATTGCATGGGTCTTTGGCCATTGGGAGATCCAACAGACAGGTACCTTACTACAGAATATACAGTATAGTATTCTATTAATGTACATTACTAGACGTAAGTGCATTCTACATACAATACAGCTGCTCTACATTGTATATTGCAATTTCAAACTCTACAAAAAATGGGGAAGCTTATAACATCCCTCTTAGAAATAGTTAACGGGAAACTACTTTAAAAGTGCCCAGGCTATTATCTCTCCACAGCCATTGCCTGCAGCTGGATGAAAAAACACTTTTGGATCCGACACAGATGTGCCTGTAGCCCCACCTGTACCCCGCTGACTGATGGCCCCTCTAATCTAACTTACCCCGTTCCTGGCAAAACAAATTATACAGATGATTGCCTTGTACAGGTTGAAATCCCAACGGTAGGACAGAAGAACATGTAAAATCCTCCCTGGGACTCAAAATCCAATCTACCTGGACATCATTTAATGGAAATTTGATATTTACGATGGCAACTTCAATGCCATATTCTGCTGACATTGGACAAAAGCTTGCTACGGGGCAAAAAAGACATAAAAACTTTTGCAAGATATCGGATCGATTCAAAATGAAAATGCTTTATTGGCTGAAGGCATTTGCAATACTGTTGAGGATTATATTCAATATTGGAAATGATTTTTATTCTCCTTAAATAGAGAAGGTCTGCATATACAGGTATCTAAGAAAGACTTAACTTCTAGATGTTTTCAATGTAAACTGATTTTTATTTAAGCTTTATATTTCTATGCTTAACTAGTCTTTTGGATTATCAAAGTAACCATTGGAATTGTTGCTTTTGGAACTGTAGACCAAAATCTGTACCTTAGTATACTGAGAGAGAATGTAGTCAGATTCAAATAACAGGCAACTTATTAATTTATTAAAAGTAAAATTAAGTATTTAGTTTACGTAACTAAAGTTAAATTAAGTACAATGTATTTAGTTTACGTATTAAATCTTACCTACTAAGAACAGAAAAAATAAAGATACTGTAGAGTAAGTGCATGTAAAACTTGTGTGGTGCAGGTAATTTTGAATGTTGCCTGTCCCAGTGAATATATGCAGAAAAAAGTATTTCGAGTCCTCCTACACAAATGTTGCCCACCATATATAATAAAATTAAGCACTGTCCCGCTACTGAAGACTTAATTTCGTACGTAACGTCCGTGAAATCCACGTTCTACGGTGTCTGTACGCCAAGTGTCTGTATGCAGAAAAAAGTATTTCGAGTCCTCCTACACAAATGTTGCCCACCATATATAATAAAATTAAGCACTGTCCCGCTACTGAAGACTTAATTTCGTACGTAACGTCCGTGAAATCCACGTTCTACGGTGTCTGTACGCCAAGTGTCTGTATGCAGAAAAAAGTATTTCGAGTCCTCCTACACAAATGTTGCCCACCATATATAATAAAATTAAGCACTGTCCCGCTACTGAAGACTTAATTTCGTATGTAACGTCCGTGAAATCCACGTTCTACGGTGTCTGTACGCCAAGTCATCAGTCAGGACGCTAAACATTGTCTCCCGCCCCGCGGGGGTTATAATAAGCAGCATGTTACCCAGAGATAGGCTAATCACGGTTGTATTTCTCTGATGTTTCCGAATGCGATGAAGCGCGTGTATTCTTTTCCCTTCCCAGCGGGCATTCTTCTGATGCATATGGAATGAAAAACGTGACGCTGGGTTTGTACGTCAAAAGGAAAAAAGTTCAGGGACCCCAGAATTTTGCAAGACATATCTGTACTATTTGATCCTGTACCATATCCGAATTCCCTTAGGCGTTAGCATTAGAAAACTGCTTGTTGTAGTTAACAAGTGCAAGGTGTTGGAATGCATGGCTCCAAGATCTAGCAGACAGACAGCTATGGGCTATGTTCATGTTTTTTTTATTTATTTCTGGTGTTGTACATGTATGTCAACAGTCTCAAATCTTAAAGAAACCACAAATAATCTTAAAAATCAAATCAAAATCTGTGATATGTTCACCTTTCTCTGACTTTCATATGTCATAAGTATATGGCATTTATATCATTTACCACAAAGAAATTATGGCATGTTTGCATAATCAATATGCAAATTAGGCCCTTATTTTGCATATTTGTATCATTATACAAACTGCCCTAAATTATATATACGAGCGATCGCCATGATGTCATGGTAGGCAAAAACTGGGTAACGGTTGGTTGATTTGCCCACCGATAGTTTGCATATGTCTTCAAATAATTTGCATGTATATGATGTAAACAAAAACAGCGATCGCTCGTATAGTATTAGTAGCTACAGAATTGTCAGAATGGAGAATTTCAAACATACACACCACAAAAACTTCCTTTCCCTCCTATCATGCACAAAATAAAACCCTGGAAATTTAAGTAAACGAATTTACAGTATTTTAGGTCATTAGTATGTTACCCTAACGATGTTTCAACCTGACGTCTCTTGCAGGATTGGAAGGCCGACAAGGCTTAATTTATAGCTACCAGGTGTCGTTTCATTATGAGGGTTAATTAGACCAATCTGTAAAGTACAGACCTCCTGATGAGAAACCGCTCAACTGGAAGAAGTCATCAACACGCTCGCTCCCTAACGAGGGAACGAGATACCTCGCAGATAATCGATTAGCTGTTACGCTGACGTTTTGAGTGGAGGGTCTGACTGAAATTGGGGCAAGAAGTTTGTGGGACAAAGGGGTAAAAAATGGATACAAGTACTGAGTAAAGAGACTCTTTTTACACAACCAAGTCTTTTATTCAGCCGCCGTTTCAGTGACCGTCTGTCACCTTCCTCAGGCCGAATAAAAGACTTGGTTGTGTAAAAAGAGTCTCTTTAAAATCAGTGTCTTACCAACCTGATGAAACTATTCACGGATGGATACAAGTACATGTACGTGATACATGTAGGAATTATTCCATCTCGATAGGATGCCTACTACAAACGTGATAAATCCATCCATTTTTAGACAAAGGGGTGAAAAATTACTTCTAATTTATTGCCCCTTGGTATGCAGAGGTATTTTATGGGTGCATTTATCTCTGGGTCAGTGTTTATGGTTGTCTGTCAGAGATGGTTGCAGGGACAGTGGGTGGGTATTTGGTTACAGTTGATTGACAGGGAGGTAAAGCTTCAAGGTGACCCAGCATGCACTGGGTGGGAGTAATTGGGCGGTATGTGTATGTGGAGGAATTCAGGAAGTGATAGACTATCGGAGTCTGAGGCCCCTTTGAGAGTTTCAACACTTTGTTAATGAGTAATTTACCAAACTGTTCATCACTGGTTAACAAAGCTTTTTTGCACACAACAAAAGAGTTAGTACTGAATTTGACAGACTAGCCCGGGTGCCGTCCTCCGTAGTTTCTGACAGCTCCCAATGGAGTGAGCTCATTCAAAATCCAAACGAATAATCAGACTCAAGCTGTCATGGATGTCAGCAAGTCCAGACTCTAGGAATGTGGTAGCCAGCGACATTAGGGAGCCTGCAGAAAGAATGGAGGATGGCACCCATGCTAGAGACAGACCACAAGAAACAATCATAGCAGCTGACCAATGCTTTAGATTCAGAATGTTAAGTCCTTTATCCCTCTAAGTAAGACCATGATAAGTTGTGGTGCATCATCAGACACATCTATGCCACTGGGATTGCCCTACATCCCATTTAGGTCAATGCTTGGTCGCAGAAAGCTTCTTCATGGCATTAGTCCATTTACGATAATCCCCCTATACAAGACAATCCCTCTATTACTCTTTCTAATGGGCTAATTGGTTGACTGCAGGCTACATAGAAAGGATATTACCCGACATGTGCAATGAAAGGGTGCTATCAAAGCAGATGGACTACTTTGGACAGTAGGCTAAGTAGAAAAACCAGCAGAGGTGGAAAATGGCCTTGATTTGCTGGGCATAATACTACAGGAACAAAGAAGGGATTAGGGACATCAATTTGATTTGCTGGCTCTTGAATTTTTGCAGGAAAGCAAAGTGGTTCGTGGCAAAAAGAAAAAATCCTACGTAAAAAAAATATTGCATAACAAATTTGACAGGTTTTTGTTTTAGCCTTTCCTGAATGAGTCCTGCAAAATTCAGCTATCTTGTGATAGAAAAGTTTGCTGTGAAACCATTTCAATGGTAGTTTCTGTCATGGCCTCAATAATAATCCTACGTTAAAAAAATTATTGCATGTAACAAATTTGACAGGTTTTTGTTTTAGCCTTTCCTGAATGAGTCCTGCAAAATTGAGCTATCTTGTGACAGAAAAGTTTACTGTAAAACCACTTCAATGGTAGTTTCTGTCATCACCAGGCCTCAATAATAATCCTATATTAAAAAAATTATTGCATGTAACAAATTTGACAGGTTTTTCTTTTAGCCTTTCCTAAATGAGTCCTGCAAAATTCAGCTATCTTGTGATAGAAAAGTTTGCTGTGAAACCATTTCAATCGTAGTTTCTGTCATGGCCTCAATAATAAT